CTACAGCCTGGAAGGTAGCCAATGTGGTTCCCATCCACAAGCGCAAGGCCAAGGGCGATCTCCGTAATTATCGACCAGTCTCCTTGCTCTGTGTAGTATCCAAGGTGATGGAAAGAATAGTCAACCAGCAGCTCATCAACCATCTCAACAGCAATACCCTCCTGTCTGCCAACCAGTTTGGCTTTCGGAAATCAATCGGCACAGCTGACCTACTAACGTCACTCCAGCATGAATGGGCTTTAACCACCAGTAAGGGCGGAACCATTCAGGCCCTCGCCATAGACATAGCAGGCGCGTTTGACCGGGTTTCACACCCTGGGCTCCTCTGCAAGCTCCGAGGCTATGGCATTGGTGGGCAACTGCTGGCCTGGTTAACATCGTACCTCCAGAACCGGAAGCTGCAAGCTGTTGTTGCGGGACAGACCTCTACCCCCTCTACCATCCGGTCAGGCGTCCCTCAGGGCAGCATCCTAGGGCCCACATTGTTTCTAGTATACTAACGACGCGAAGATCAGCTACCTGCCAGCGTCTCCATCGCCGTGTATGCTGATGATACTACGTTATACACGTCTGTCATGCCTGGACAGACCACAGAGGCCGCCGCAGCTGCACTTCAGACAGCCGTAAACCAGCTGAAGCCTGGGAAGTACTTGGAGGGTTACCTTTGAGCCCTCTAAGTCACAGCTGATGTCCGTGACCAGGAAGCTGCCCCCTCTAGACTTCCCCCTGTCCAATTCCTTGGCACCCCTGTTCCTGTCAGCAGCCAGTTGAAGCTCCTTGGGGTGGTGTTCGACGAGAAGCTCAACTTCAGCGCCCACCTCCACCAGCTTTCTGTGCGCGCACATCAACGCCTCCATTTCATGCGGAAGGCAGCCCCCATCCTGGATGCTGCTGGACGCCTAACCGTCTATAAGGGCTTTGTAAGGCCCATACTTGAGTATGCCCCACTAGCCTGGCTTGGTGCTGCCCAGACCCACCTTGGGAAGTTGGACACAGCACAGCGCAAGGCCATGCAGATGATTGGACCCACCACCGTCCTCCAGAGTCTGCGGGCCAGACGGACGGTCGCAGGGCTGTCCTATCTCTACAAGGTAGTTAACTGCAAGGGCCCACCCGTCTGACACGCATGCGCCCTCCCCCAAAACCACGGGCCGATACTGTTCGAACCCGCCAGCAGCATTATGCTCAGCGCCAGCACCGGGAACAGCTCTTAAACACCACCCCCGGCACCAGTCCTGATTACCTTCGACGTTCCTTCCCGTACTGTTTCCTTGAATTGTGGAACAGCCTCCCCGAGGACATCTTTCCCCGTCTGGCCAATCACTCTCCACTCACAGCTTTTAAAAAAGGTGTGAACAAACACATTTCAGACCAGCCATGGTCTTGGGACGTGCTTTGAAGCCCATCATGTTGTTCGTCTCACTGTTCTTTCCAGATTGCACCTCTCGGTTTGGGGATGTGCATTGAAGCACCCCATACTAACGGTCTATACTGTCCTCTTTTGGTCACCACTCTCCCTATTACCTATATTGTAATTACCATTCATGTATTGCGCTTCAGATTTCTTCCGTTTTTGTCTCTTGGTGCGTTACCGGCATGGCGATACTGAGACCTAATGGTCAGTGGAGTGCCTGTAGCCTCACCAGCACTGCTACTATCTGTGACTGTGGCGACCACCATTCAATGTCTAGTCCTCCCCTAACCGTACCCCAACTCTCTCTCTCTCAGCGCTCTTTTTATCTGTCTTTTCTTACTCTTTTTTCTTTGTCAGCCTTCCTGGTGGTTATGTGCTTTTTCAAGTAAATAAAAAAAAAAAAATTAAAAAAAAAAAAGAGAGAGAGAGAGAGAGAGAGAGAGAGAGAGAGAGAGAGAGAGAGAGAGAGAGAGGAAAGAGAGAGAGAGAGAGAGAGAGAGAGAGAGAAAGAGAGAGAGAGAGATGATTAGCTGGAGAGAGATCGAAATGAAAACAATAGGGAAAGCTTGTACACATGATAATAAGCTACTATGCTAAAACAGAAAGGTGGAATGGCTTACAACATTATAACAAAAGCCGATGCACAGTCCAATGCCTTGTGGAATGATGTTAACTTGAAGAGTATGGACAGCGCTGTAGCGGTAGGAAGTCTCCTGGAATCCATTCCCCGCCGTCTAGTACACAATCTCATCATCACCCAGCAATGTTCACAGTAAAGTAGCGACCAAGGCTGAACAGGCTTCATGATGTTCGTCAACGATTACTACTAAGCACTACTAGCGATCGGCAAATCAATCTACTGTGTCGCGCTGTGGATCTTGATCTGTACACGATAATGTGTATGCGTTAGCGGCAGTGTGTGCGGCATAGGAGAAAGATGATGCATCGATCTACCGATTCACTTGCCTTACATCATAACTCTTCATAACTCTTCTGTCGAATTCGCATCGCCCGAGGTCGACCCGCGTTTGTTGCCGCTGCACAGCATGCAGCAGGGTACTGGAGGAGAATGGCGCTGACCATCCGCCCTGCCATGGACGCAAGGTCTTTGACAAATCGAGCAACACGATGGGAACGTCAACATCCTGGACGGACCGTAGGTCTGCCGCCCATTAGGACCCGTGTCATGTCGTTTCCTGTTGATACATGTGTTTTTGACCAAGTGACAGTACTATGTTCATGCAGATCGCGCCTCATTTGGGCCCGCCACACTGAGCCAAGGTTCAGTCCCACGACAGGGCTAGACTGCGAACAACGCCGCTTCCATTTGGAAGAAAAAGGTTTGTTGACTAAAAGGAAGTGTCAATTATTAGTTAGTCTAGTTATGCGCCAAACAGATTTAAGTCCCGTTAGATCTTCCAACAGACTTTCCAGAAACCCTACCCCTTTTTTATTCAGTTTGTTCGGCGGAGCAGACGGACGGTAGGTAGGTAGTGGAGTCTCGGAAATGGGTCAGTCCAATTCCTGTAGGAAACATTCGGTACATGTGCCTTGCCGAAACAGTCTGGTTCTGAGAAATGAACTGAATCAGCCACCCAGCTCTATGTCGCTGAAGAGAAAGCTATCCAAGAAGCTGAGCAGTTGCTCAAGCAGAAGCAAACAAGCCCATCTGGGCGCGAACTGTACTGGATGTCGCAGGAGCTCTGCCCACTACGTCGGCGGTGGAGATGACGCCGCAACTGTGCTCGTGTCTGACACGCAGGACAGGCAGCAGGCGGAGGTGATGACGCCCGTGACCAAGAGGTGCAGTGAAAGTGGGTACTCTTCGGACCTGCTATCGGTCTTGCAGCAATCGACACCGCCGCAAGTTTACGTTGGAACACCATCGCTGGAACGAGCCACCACAACTGCGCCAACAAGCACAACGCTTGAATCAACAAATACTAGTAAAAGAACTATCAGCTCCTTTTCGTCCCGTGCCCAAAGCTGTACACAGACTAGGCAAGATGGCACGGTCATCCAGCGCCGTGCTCTTCCGGATGATGACTTACCCATGAAAAGCTGTGGGTGCAGAGCAGCGGAGCTATCGATACTGGCCTCAATGAAAGAGCAGCAGGATTCCTTTCACAGGGAGTTGGCTCGTGAAATGCTCCAACGGCAGCGATACTATCTGTCGACGCTAGTTGAGCAGCTAAGAAATCAGCACAATCAATTCCTGGGCGCTGGGCCTGGTCCTAAGGATGGTGCAGGAAGTGCAAATGAGAATGGCTTTCGGCAATCGACAAGTCTCGCAGAAGGTCACGATGTTGCCAGTGGCTGCACGACTCCACGACCATTCGAAGAGCCACAACCGGCACAAGGAGTTATGTCCAATGTCCTAGAAGCGAGCGAGCAGCCCCTCCACTCCTCCTATTCCGCGCAGTACCTAGCACAGTTCAGCGGGCGTTCTGTGTCCACGTCACGTTTAGCAGTCACTCAGGAGAACCCTGGGCCAAGCAGTGTTCCATCAGTTGGAAGTGACAACTGTTTCGAGCGCATTGGTTGCAGCCGTACTTGCGACGACGATCCGCCCGAAGCATACTTACCGCCACCCAACTCTCCTGAGCCAGACAGTCTCACCACAACATACTCCCAATCGGACGTAGACGATGTGTATATTGGCTCCGATATTTTACAACACCCGGACTACTAAGCACGCCACTGCATAACCACACCCTCCTCTAAGTTCTCATTCCTATGCTCGTTCCATTAGTAAGCATTGCAAATTTACAGTAAGCGTGAGAGTGCCGAAGTCCGATAGTGGCCGCTGTCGTACGACCATGTGAAGCCCATCGCAGGCATTGGCGTGTATTGTTTGAGTCTTACTCTGTAGATCTACGATGTCCTAGAACGTCTACTAGAGTCTAGACCCTTTCGAAAATATAACCAACCTCGATCCGTGCCCGGAGTCCGAAGGTGAAGGATTCTGCTTGAACATAGTATCACTCCGTCCTCAGGTATTGGCTGGGACAGGATACACACAGTCATAATCATTGTACGTTTATGTGCTTGAGTTCGACTCGAGTCTTCCATTGTACTACACGTATGTACAGTCATGTACGATTATGTAGTTCTAGCGCAATAGCTTACTAACACTATAGCAACTAATTTACTTAGCGATACACGGGTCGATGACAATGACAATGTGTTTTTGAGAAAGCCCAATGGTACTGAGGTCGCGCGGGCATGGATCAAGTGGATTGTTGTAACCATGATAACTACCATTACGGCAATTCGCAATAGTACCAGACCATGCCCGCCCGCTGACGCTGATCTGAGTGTGACACCCAGGGCCCAGGCAGTTGTCAAAATACCACTACAAATAATTAATTGTGACATGATTGTACAATCATGCAGTTTATACTGGAGTTAGTGAGTTACGACAACCTGGTGACACCCAAGTGTCGCGCGCTGTCACTGTGTCAGTGTGTCAGTGCCATGACTACGCATGTACCGGCGTAGATCTACTCTGATGTAGACAGTGCATGACTATCCGGAAAGTGCCTTCTATGAAAAGCCGATAAAAAGCTACAAATTACATGTAGTTTGAAATGCAGCTAGCGGAGTAAGCGGACTCCAGTATTAGTACAACCATGATTACTAACATGGCTAGCTGAGTTTTACCCTACTCTCCTGCAACATCCATAGTGACATTATTATAATGGCTACCACGTCTCAAGAGAAATCCTCCGGCTATTGTATGCTGTACCATGGAACGAGAGACGACGTAGCGGAGCTGGTCTGCACGAAAACGCAACTGCCGAGCGCACTGGACGATGGCGAAGTCCTGGGAAAGGTGCTATTGGCGACTATCTGCGGGTCGGACCTGCACACCCTGAGCGGCGCACGACAAGAAGCAATTCCAAGGTCTGTTTGAAACTCACCAGTAGTACACAGGTACATGGGTTTTGGAGAGTTTAGCACACCATTCTCAGATCAATTTCCTATGGAGGTTACACGCACATGTCGAAAACGAATTGGTGCAGGTACAGTACTAGTACTAGTAGTAGTAGATCTACATGACTGTACAATGACTATGTACTTGTACAATGCCGCTCAATGAAATCAAGTGAATGGCGCTGGCCAGCCCGGCCTAGACCTGCAAACACCGGGATGTGAAGGCTGGCCCAGGCCGCCAGGGCTACGCAAACTTACGTTCGCACGATCGGATTCAGTACAGAACAGTGGTGGCAAATGACATGCACCCAGTCATGGATATTTCAACACACAGGGCCAGTTAGGGCGTATCCCATAGTGCTAGCTAGGACTGCCCCCCCCCCCCCACACACACACACGGTGTGTGTGTGTGTGTGTGTGTGTGTGTGTGTGCGTGCGTGTGTGTGTGGTGTGTGTATGCACACATGTAGGAGAAGGGGGCACAAACTTGGCAATTGTCAAAAGTAGGTATGGAATGGTTATAGTAACGTACTATCAGTAACATGCACAAAACAGCATGCTGGCTGCACCATATTATACCTGATGGGTCCTCCTCCTCCCCTCCTTCTCCCCCTTCTTCTCCCCCTCCTCCCCCCTCCTCCTCCTCCTTCTCCTCCCCCTCCCTTTCTCCATCCTGTTTTCTTCTCTTCTTCTTCCTCCTCCTCCTATGCTCATCCTCCATCCACCTCTCTCACCCTTTCCTGCTCACATAATGTAGCACTTTAGTTTTTTTTAGTTTTATTCCAAGCAATACATTTATTTTTTATTTATTTATTTATTTATTACAGCATCTCATAGCACAGTGAGAAGACCGGCCAATACAAAGAGAGAGGGTGTTAGCCAACCACGGCCACATGGCTAGGGTAGCCAATGACCACTAATCTTAGTCTTTGCGTGGCGATTGCAGAGTTTGATGGCAAGACGGTTGTACTGATTGCACTCATCATCTGCTCACAGCTTTGCTCGGTCTGCGCTGTTCTGTTCTTTTGTCACATGATTCTATTCCAGTGTCCTTGGTCACGAGGCAGTGGTTGAGATAGTCCAGACCAGCAATGCACAATTCACGGTAGGCCAGCGAGTGACATTCAGCGTGGCGGATACTTGCGGATCATGCAGGTTCTGCACCGGCAGCCTTGCTCAGAAATGCCCATCACTGAAAAAGGTGAGTAGTGATGGAGAAAGATAGAAACAGACCAAAATGCATCCTTAGTTTGCTGTCATGTACACACTGATGTGCCGGTATGTATGTAAAGTCAACCTCGTGAAACACAATCCCGGGTATAGCAACAATCCCGGGTATAGCAACAACTCGCGAATAGCAACCGTACTACGGCTTCAGACCTACAAGTGTAGTGATCATTTGAGTACAATGCTTTCAACCACTTTGGTGGTAGGCCTGATCTACTCACCAACCACAGTGACTGTGTTTAATAGGAGCTGCATCTGTGCCTTGCTCCTGGAGGTCGGTGGCATTCCTATGGTTGTGGAAAACTACCGAGTCTATACGCGAACCGTGAAATTTGTCAACCTCGACAATAGACAACTCACGAATAACACATCTTTTCTCATGCCCGATTGCTACTCACAAGATTGACTGTATGTACAGCACACATCTCGTCAATTCCAACATTTCCCTATCCATTTAGAATGCACAGCTCTGTAATCAGGATACGGGTTCCTATTCAGAGCAGATGTGTCTGGTCCCTCGTGCACCCATATAGTCAGTCACAGTGGTTCCAACGTAGCTTCAAACATGATGTGCTGTGATGCCGGTGTGTTAGTAGTTCAAGTTGCTGTGATGTGTATTCCGGCGTAGTACTTGATGCATTGTTAGTCTCATGGGCTGGGCTGAATATTGGCCCCATGCAGCTACTGTAGAATGAGGACTCGCGGCATGCTGCGCTTGACCAGTGAAATTTCTGAAGGCCAAAGTTTCAGGCAGTTCACTTCCCTGACAGTTAAAACAATGAATTCCAAAATGTAAACACTGTCATATTTCATGCGCAACTCTAGTCTTGATCGACTTGCCGAGTGCATCATGGTAGTATGGTGATGTTGAAATTCAGTTGTAACCAGATTGTTATGCATGTGACTGATTTACTGGCTGAGCTGTTCACTCTCTGCTTACAGTATGGTCACATGCAGTACACAGAGTCTGATCAGCTGAATGGCTGCTACGCCAGTCACATTCACATCAAGAAGGGCACCGCGCTGTTCCCCATTCCAGCGAACCTGCCCGACGCAGTCGTGGCACCGGCCAACTGTGCACTCGCCACCATGGTGAATGCTGTCGAGAAGATCCCGCAGCAAGTGCAGGGCATGGAAGCGCATCCCCGGACAGCTCTGGTACAGGTAAGAGCCAGCATGTAGGAATCATCTGCTATCATGCTATGTTCAACTTACATCATTTTTACGGATTTGTCGCCGGGCTTGCACGGAAGCAGGGAATGTATGCTTTGCCAAAACGTGTAATGCGTGTTCATTACTTGTAGAGTTCTGAGTGGTTGATAGAAGATACACACTAGCACTGCCTTATACTTCAGTATTTAGCGGGAATATGAACATTGATGACAGCATAACAGGTAGAAAAAACTGGCCCAGTATTACGTCTGGAATCATGCCGGGCGCGGCAGTGCAGGATCAGCACCGTATTCCGATGATCATGGTTATCATGTGTGCTGTTGAAAGTATTAGGAGTCATTTAGGACACGTCACGGTACAATAAACATGATCACCTTGCAATAGCAGTGCTTTCACAGCAGGGGCATCGGAAGGTAACGTTATTTCAGGATGGTACCGGGTTAGCCATTATTGTAGGTGCCATATTGGGGCCCTCTAAAAATTTCCAAAATTAGAGCTCATATTTAAAAAATCACTTTTCGTTAAAAAAATACATGGGTGCCAATGATGAGACTTGAAGCAGTATGGTCAACATCGTATTCGTAGTGACCGTAGCACGTCCGACGCCCCTATACAGGCTACTGTGGCATGCAACACGAGACTGAGAACTGGCCACTTGGTCCGTGTCTGTGTCTACTTGTAACTTGAAGTACTTCTGTTCATCACTGTCTTCCTGGGGTCACAGGGTGCAGGCCTGTTAGGTGTCTACGGAGTGGCCCTGCTCAAAGATCGGGGCTTTGCCACAGTCTACTGCTCCGACGTTCATCAAGGCAGACTCGAGACCGTGCAGAAGTTCGGTGCTACGCCGATCTTGTCTGGTGCAGGTAGGTCATAAAGAATCGCATGCTTCTAGTGCTGCATACATGTACTTGTACTGTTCTGGCATGAGCTTATGGGGTATTCACACGACAGGCAAATCCACGTGCACCGGAAAGTTGCTATGGTATTTTACCTGTGAACGAGAAAAGTGCCTGAAAGTGGCTGAAAAGTGAAAGCGAGCTGGGGGCCCACTTTCACGATAACCGTGGCGTGCACGAGTACATTTACACCAAAAGCACGAAACAAGACTTGATTTTTTTACGCGGCTCTTTAGAGCATGATAATTATCGTATGTGTGTTTTGAAATTGTTAAATACCCATGGCTACTGGTTGGTGAAGCATTCAAAAATGCAAACGTGCCTGTCGTCGAGTGCAGCTGTGTGAATCCACACAGTCACTTTTCTCGTATGTCACTCCCTGTAAAACGTGCAAGTGCCTGTCGTGTGAATACCCCATTACCCGATGCAGTCTCATGCAGATGCCATGGATTACTTCAGTACAGTCATTACATGTATCTCACATGGCATGCCGGTCAGTTTTGCGAATCTCTAAGAATTCACTAGTGTGTACTTGTGTGAAAGTTCTTACCCATGGAGTATTCCACTGTATGAGTCAAGTTTGTCACCATGCGGCATTGCCGATAATACATAACCAAGCATGTCAAACTCTATTCTTGAGCTGCGATGGACTCACCCATGGTGGATTGTTTCATTTTTTAATGAAAAGCCAATTTTTGGCCAACGTTTGATCATATGCATAGATCACATGCATAGATCACATGCATAGATCACATGCATAGATCACATGCATAGATCACATGCATAGATCTTTCCATTCTTCTCATCTATAATACAGTCACGGTCATTTCATCAGGCTCAGGACGCATGAATCTGCCCTCCCTTGTTCTTCTTTTACCACCATAGCTGCAGTGTACATGTTCTCTGCACTCTTGATAACTATGATGGCATCAATGAGTCATGTAGCGCAACAAATTGTCATCAGAACATGTCTGATTTGCCGAAGAACTGAATCACCAAGTTGCGCACTCCTTTTTATGTACATTCGACGAGGCTAACCTTTTTGGCTAATGAGCACAGAATGACATTACTCGCGAGTGAATACAGACTGTAGAAGCTCGTGAACTGACACCAATACCTGTACTGTATTCAAGTGGCTACCTTTTGTATTTTGTCTGGAATCGCTAATTATGGCAGGTAATTCAAGTATTGAACCCGGCTCAGTGGATGCTGTCATCGAGGTTAGTGTTAAACTAGTACTCAAGTACATTCTATTTGTTACTGTGTAAGTGCTCAGCTCCTCCTGGGTGTGTGTGTGAGTGCGTGCGTGCGTGTGTGCGTGTGTGTGTGTGTGTGTGTGTGTGTGTGTGTGTGTGCATATCTTTCTTCTCTTCATCACACTCCTAGCTCTTGTTTCATTCCCCGGGTGGTTACCACTAGCCAGTTCATCCTGGATTATGTCACATGTATGTGTGTATGCGTGTGTGTGTGTGTGTGTGTGTGTGTGTGTGTGTATGTATGTGTGTATGTGCATGCGCACGTCTGTGCATGTGTGTTATCTACTATGCATAGGTATGTGGTCATAAGAGTGTTCTGCAAGAAGGATTCAGGTGCCTACGTCCCGGAGGTCATTACGTGCTTGTTGGACTTGTCCATCCCGACTCAGCTCTACCAATCACTGCTGAAGATATCATACGCAAATGTGCCACAATCACAGGTTGGTTCTCCAAACTCAGATAGGGCACTAACGTAGAAGTTGCGACTTCGGCGGTATTAGTGATGAATTTGATTGTTCCTACGTTGAACACACGCTTCCTGCCGAACTTGACACTTGACTGACTCACGACTGCCGCCCAGAGCACACGAGGAGCACGTTGCACCTTCCACTCGGTAAACCTGCAAGAAAGTACCACTCCCTGCTCAATACACAGTGTTTCGGGGAATTCACCCCTCATCAGTTGAGCTTTGGCAAAAGCAGAAACAGAATGCAAGCTACACCCATTTCGTCCTATTCACATTGCACGTGGAACTGATCCTGTGTTGACATGGATTCTGCCCCCACAGGATACTGCGATTCCGCGGACGCGCAATTTTCCGCGTTATTGGCTGTCATCCGCGTTTTTCGAGAGATTTTGCATAAAACCCGCGTTATTCATGGCAGTGTACAAGAAAATAGCACATGATGTTGAAAGTGTACTACAAAGTCGTGCCGGTGCATGAGTTTGTACAACAAAGTTGTATACTTGCATGAAACTGCATGCTAAAGTTGTACAAATGACAGAAAACTCGTGCAATGACCGCATCATACCACATATTTGCCGCATAATGGCCTGTTTTCGCCTGCATAATTTTAGGATTTCGTCCGTGTTATCCTGTGGGGACAGTGGCTTAGAAATAATACTGTTCAGACGGCGTATTGAAAGTGCTCACACTAATACACACTTGGCTGTACATTCCTCCAAGGTCCTAGACTACCTAGAGCATTAGACAAGAGGCTTCCCCAGATGTACAATCATGTGATTAGTTGAATGCAAGTACTTTTGAAGTAACACGGTACACTTGTACATTGGCCATGTCAAGTTTGTCCCCTATGTGTGTGTGTGTGTATGTATGTGTATGTATGTGTGTGGTATGTGTATGTATGTGTGTGTGTATGTGTGGGTGTGCCCGTGCATGCATGCACTCCAGGCGTGCACAACTACAACTACGATCACCTGGGAAAGGCTGTCAAATTCCTATCCGATACAGCATCCCGCTACCCATATGACCTGCTAGTCAGCAAGCCGTACAAGCTGACTGAGCTGGAGTCGGCCATCGAAGCAGCCAAAACACAGGCTTTCCATAGGATTGCTCTGCAACCATGCAGCCTAAATATTGAATCCCACACATCGTGCACACATATTTCCAGACTTTAAGCCAAAAACTATTATAAAAATCACACAGAAAACTATGGATCATGGAGTCTATTTCCAGCCCACTCACGACTCAAAGTGACCTTCTAGATGTTGTACATCACTTACAAAACAACTCCGTGTTGATTAGAGCCACTGCTCAACTATTCCATGGTAGAGTGGGCTGCTTTGTTCTAGAATTCATCACAGATCATTGATGAAACCTATAGAATGTTTCTTATATACTTATTTTAAAAAATCTTGAGAAGTTTCAAATGAATGAGTATGACGTTATGAAGATCTAACTACACTAGTATAATTATCTTACTTGCATGCTACTACTAGTATTGCTTACTCCAGATAGCTACTACATGTAGTATTGTATTATATAACCCAATACTAGTACAATAATACTAGTATTAGATAAACCTTGTTTTCATGCTGTCAAACTAACAACATGTAGTAGTGTATATGAGCATGACGTGGGGTATGTTGCAAGAGTGTCACGTCTTTTGAGTGTTACTCACAGGGCACTGATTTTGATCGGTTTTTCTGATCAAAAAATCTAGCTTCTCTTGATCAGGATCCAGTAGGACAACACAGCGTTCAGTTCTTACAGTGCACGAGTCTGACCAGCAGCTTTCGCTGCACGTGTACACCACAACCGTGCCAAACTCCAAGCGACTGCCAGCCGAACATTCAGCGGCTGCTGCTGTCCTGGCGAGAGACGAGCGGCTGCCCTCGGAGCTAAGGTGTGCTAGAGCCGGCGGCATCAGCTGCACTTCGGCGTGCGCCCGCGCTCCGCAGTGCGAGCACTGCACCTCCTGTGGTAGTGGTTGAGAATCGGTGAACTCGAGCGGCGTCAGTAGCCAGCGGTAACGCAAGCACTGCGCCGCGTTGCGAGCAAGAATTTTATGAAATTTTCGAAAAGCGTCATCACCATGTTTCGCCTTACTCTTCTCATATTCCTCATTGCCGCCGCCACCGGCTGCTGATGCTGAAGATGATGATTTACCACTGGACAGGGACTTGAGTGATACTCCTTCAGTCTCCTCGTACTGTGCTAGAAGCTCCAGCTCGTGGCTGAAGTTTTGAGATTTTTTATCCACGACAGGCTCTTCCATTACATCGATATAGTACGAGACAAAGCTGTTCTCAGATGTCCATGCACTTGTAGCTACTGTAGCCACTGGCGCTGCTTCTGACGATTGGCCATTGCGTGTGAAATGTTGTGTCGGCTGAGCACACGTAGCCCGTGCTGTTGTTCTCGGCGCGGCCATCGGATTTACAGGACTGCTGAAGTCGAATGTATCACCTCCGCCAGAATCACCCCAATCATCTTGGTCAACTCCCCAGTCGTCAGCACCATTATCTAGGGAAGCTGTTGGCGCAGCAGTATCCAGGTTGCTTTCCAGGCATGATGTAGTTTCCCCGTTAGAAGACTCGTCCACAGACTGGCAGCGTAGAACTCGCCAACTAGATGGCCTACCTCTGCATTTTCCGCCACAGGCTAGAATGTACAGAGTCCTGTGGTATACTGAGGATTCAAGGGGCGCGTACAATTGTACTACCAGCTCCATACTGTTGTTGCTGCAAACTGGACAATGGCCATACTCAGCTGATATTCCAGTTATCCAGTTTGGAGATCCTCCAAGTTTATTGCACCAGTATCCATCTACTGTATCCGTTATTCTCTCACCACATAATCCTAGCCACGTTGACATATTTGCGATCTGAGCACGACCATTCGAATAGGACCAGCAGAACTAAGTTACTTGGACGTTGGAGAAGGTAAACTGTAAAGTAGTTACAAAAATAGAAATACAAAAAGTCAAAAAGTCGAAAGGAGAGAGAAAAATGCTTTTCGATTTGAAAAAATATTATTTTCACTTTCTCAGGTCTTGCATGCAACTGACGTCATGCATTAGTCACATCAAACATAATACAGTGTACATTCAAAGCTGATCGTGCGTGACGGGCCTGACGCGTGGCGGGAGCTGAAAATCCTGCATCGAGACAAACTACTTGTGCCGTTGCTGAGCGAGTTGAGGAAAGGAGTTTGAAACGGCGTTTGCTCTGAATCTGTGATACGACCAGATCCGATGAATGAAAGTGCTGTTTGGCACTTGTCTATGCACCCGGTGCTTTGTGAAGTTGTTGATCTTGATATCAATGATCGATCAAGAAGACCGTAGACCAACTATCTAAGTCTGTCCTATTTTCTAACCAACTAACTTGCCCGTTGGTATCCACCTGTGGCCCGAGACAATTGATGATGTGCCTCAAGATCTCATTGCTCTTACGAGTGCTAGCTGTGGTAAGGTTACACTTGCAGAGTTTTTAGTGCTGTAGTCATGCATGGAGACAAGCACCAATACAATCCACCACTTATTTCACTTCGTATTTTGCTCGCGGAAGTGCTTAGCTTTTTTTGAATTTTTGAATTTGTGTCACGAAAATTTTACAAGTAGATGGGGTTTACATTATGCACCTCACCGTATCAAGTACAGTTGTGGACATAGAAATGGAGTGAAATGACGGGGGTCAGTGCCCTAAGTATGCATACCGTCTGTATCGGCTGTAGAGTGACCGGGTGTAAGGTGTAGGATCCATCGGCTACAGTGATATCGGGACAAACAAAGCTGTCCCCGGGGAAAATTGCGGAAAAAAATCGCAAAAACGCGGGGAAAAACGCGGCATAATATGGCACAATTTGCGGTGAATTTGCGGTAAATATGTGGTGAATAATATTGATGTGCGGCAATTTTCAGTGAGTATGTAGTGAAATCAATCAGTTACAAGTCTCTGGTGTAAGCACTCGTCATATTTGAGTAAAAAGCCGCCACGATGAGACGTTGCTGACCGAACAGTGCACTGTGTGTACGTGTAGTGCAACAAAAAAGTTCAAAAAACGCGGGAAAATCGCGGAAAACGCGGTCTTTTAAAAAATCGCAAAAAACGCGGCCACGGAATCGCAATTTTCCCCGGGGACAAAGGCATATTTTTAATGGATTTCTTTCAGTCAAAATGCCACTACACACATAACCAGTAATCGGTTGTAGTGATATATCGGATAATTACAATGGTATACCAGATTTTAACACAGCCTCTTGTACCGGCTAAATTACTTCGAAGTATATTAAACACAATGAAACATGAACCATGCCGGAAAAGCAATGATGATGACGAGGCGTGGACAATAGGACAAATGCATTGTGAACGTTATGGCAGCTTCCGAGACAGTGAGTCGAGCAGATGACTCAATCGCCTCCGGTTGAGAATGCAGCCATCGTGCAGTACCATACAGGAAATTCAAGCCACGCTGGCGCGACGGAGGCTAAAGCTGAACCTGCAGTGGATCCACACCATCACTGCAGAGTATGGCTCAGCAGACTTGCCCCCCCCCCCCCCCCCCCCCCCGAATGTACTTCCTCTCTTCTCTTTCTGTGTTTGTGTGGCCCGGTGACTATGGGCCATCCATGGTTCTGGCTTGTGTGTGTATGTGTGTGTGTGTGTTCGTGCGCGTGCGTACGTGTGCTGAGAGGTAAGTCATGTCCACAGCACAATGTCATTTGCATGCACACATCTAGAGACTCCCTTGATTTAGGCCAAGGCCTGTGGACAATCCATAAATACAAATCGTGCACCTGATTTATGTATACGTGATGTGCATGTGCACGTAATATCGCTTGTAGTGATGCATCGGATGATAAGAATTGATTATAGTGATAACAATTATCATAAATCGTGGAAAACGAAAGGGTACGCCTGTTCTAAGTCCTGGTGTGTGTCTGCTTTGCTGTAGGTCTGTGCACTGCTCACAGTGTCGCTGGTCGCAGCCGGACTCAGCTCTGTGCAAAAGAACGGCACGGGTGCGAAGGGATGCTACTATCACCACCCAACGACAGCGGTCTGCGTGTACGCTGACGCCGTTTCAGTGCTGACCATTATCGTTGCCCTGTTCTTCATCCTCTTGGACTGTTGCTTATCACTGAAGCCCAAGCGTGGGAAGCGCTTCAAGGTATCGTATGCTTTTTCGTACACTTAGGATTTTGCCATGGTTAGATGTGAAGAGCTTGCAAGTCCGTTATATCGTGTCTTTGGTGTGGACGTTTGCTGGTCCTCATCTGATACTGTCCGTCATGAGGGTGATCTATTTTCAGCTTTTCCGTCTTCACTTGGCTAGACAGTGACCTGAAGGGATGATCAACCTGCGGACAAATGCGTATTGTGTGACACCTTCTCCCTTCCCCATGCTGTATTGGGTATTGTGAGGCGGGGGGGGGGGGGGGGGGGTATTGTATCATGTGACATCTTCTCCATGCTGTATTGGGTAATGTGAGGGGGGGGGGGGGGGGGGGGGTGGGTGGTACTGTACCCAGGGGCGTAGCACCCGCTATGACTGGTACGACCATGGCCGTGCCACTTTTCGAAAAGTGTGGTCCGTCCGGAACGTGCAAAACCGTAATAAAAAAATCAGGATCCATCGATGCATGTGCGCATCAGACTTTGACCTTTTTCTAGACTCGTACTCGTAGATCTGTATTATGCATCTGCAGTCGTACTGAGTACTGTACTCGACTCGACTGCACACTGCGCCAGAAGCTCCCAGAACGCAGGATTTTGTGTCTTTTTTACAAAAATTTCCCGGGGCAGCTCCCCGGACCCCCCTCCAACACGGCCTTCGGCCGCACCGACCTTCGGTCGTACCACTTCCAAAACTCCTCCTACGCCCCTGGTACCATGGGACATCTTCTCCATGCTGTATTGGGTAATGTGAGAGGGGGAAGGGGTGGTGGTTAGCCCCCCGTGTAATATGCCGGCATTTTTTTGAGCATTTTCGGTACAATCCGCGAACCCAGCACTTTGGGCTTGTGATGCAGCATTTCGGGGGAAACGGAGCACTTGGCCGTTGTGTATCAAAATTGAGAGAAGAAAAACTTCCCAAACAAGAACGTCACCTCCGCATTCCGTAGGTTAGCTTCTTGTTGAGTAGTTTATGAATTGTTTACCAAGGCAGACTCGAGCAAGTCTCTTATTGAGTGTGTTTCGGATGACAGTGATGGAGATGAAGATACTGTAGAGAGCGATTCTTGCAAAAAAGTGAGCATTTTCCGAGCATTTTCGGCAAGGTTTGGGAGCATTTTCGGCAAGGTTTAAGAGAATTTCCCAAAAGCATTTTCGGCAAAGTTTCGGGCATATTACACCGGGCCCTAGTGGTGGTGCTGTATCATGTGACATCTTCTCCATGCTGTATTGGGTAATGTGAGGGGGGGGGGGGGTGGTACTGTGCCATGGCTCCAGCTTGGATTTCCCTACTTCAGTAGCTGTATGAATGTGTTTATGTATCGAACTTCGCCAGTACTTTTGACAAATTGACCCTGTTTCCCTGCTATGCCGCCTTCCGTCTGCACGTTTGGACGTTTGTTTTGCTTATGTTCCCTGATGTGTGTCTGTATGCAGAGATTGGACATGGTGACGAGTGTGTTCATGTCTGTAGTTTGGCTATCGTGCGGTGGCACCATGGCTGGGTTTGAGTCCGCCCTGCGCAACACGGAGAAGGACAAGTTCAAGAACAGCACGCGGAGTATGGCCAACGTCACGATTGTCACCACCTGGATTAGCGCGGTCACTTGGGTAAGCTCTTCTGTTGCCTGGCATTTCCGGAGTCCAATGAACAAACTAGCTCAGTGGTTAGGTATTGCTGGCCTTTAGCAGAGGTCCCTGGGTCGATTTCTAGTGGTGACAGTCGATATTCTTCAGACTTTACCCTTTTTATTCCCTCAAACAGATGAACAATTTGTTACCCTATTTTCCAGGGTGTAAGCCACACTTCAACACTCTTAATTCACCCCAAAAGTCCGGCGTGCGCCTTGTACTACGATGGTCCAGTGAACAGTGATATACAGGGAACTAGTAGATGCCTGTATTTTGTGACAATGAATCTGGGTGCGACTGATACTCCGGACAATGCGGCGATCGTTTTTTTTTTATGAACAAAACTCTTCCATGTATTTTCCATCCCTGATGGTGTAGCAACTAGAACACGTGTACTTTGAGTATCAAAGCGACTTCGTTAATTAAAAAAGAAAGAAGGTAAGTTGTGTGTTCACCGTGAGAACAATATAGGGATCTTTTCGCACATTTCCGGTTGTCACTGTCAAATTTCATTATCGAATTCTTTTGAAGCATTCTAGTCTACAGGCAGAGACCACTTCACTTTCATTTCCACTTGGTTTCCACTTGTCCAAGTAAGAAGATGCAGCAACTTTGCTGGCAAGATATTCTTTTATTTTTGCATTTTTCACCTGCAGCTTTTGTTGACGATTACTGTTTGCTGTACGGACAAAGAGCCGCAGACAGACCAGGGCCTCCTAGTGGAGCCTTCTGACGAGGATGACCTTGCTAGATCAACGGAGAACAAGCCTCTGCTGTCCAAGTCATGAGCCGGCCGGCAATGAATGAAACCGCTGCATTGTCTACGTTCTGGTCTAAGTTTGCTTTCGGACTGTCCATAGAGGGTTAGTGACGCCCTACTGACTTTGGCAGGTGGAAGATGACATTGAGTTACGAAGGCATCGGCGGCATGCCATGATATGAAAGCACACACATGTGGATCATGCTGTTCTTGTTCATGCGCTCCTTCCGCCACCCATCCCGGTGTGTCAGTGCCATGGACATCTCAGCCTTAACCTGCCACAGTCATCAGTCATAGCCCAGCAGCAAACTGCTTGTAACGTTCCCATAGGCATCGAGCGCAACGCCTTCCCTCCTTAGGTCCAATACAAATGAAGTCCGAGCAGCTGCGGACTTGAACAGAATTATACGCATCGTTCCCAACATGTAGCATAGCAATGCGAGCCTCCTAGCACTTGGGAGTTGCTCTGCAGAAAGTAAAGAGGAACTTGATTCTCATAGATTGTTCATGGTACCACTGGAGGTACACTGTATTTTGTACTGTACAGGACATGTGAAAGAAGTGATTTTATAATTTTATTGACATATCCAGTTTGAGTCGGATGCCCCCTTTTTTCGCACCGGACTGCAAGTAAGTTTTGACTGTTTAGTAGCATTTTGCTCAAACGATGATCGATTATCATTTCGATGATCGATTATCATTTTTAAATAAGTGTTTAGGTTCAAGTGTACCTCTTGGCCTGGTGTCTGACACATGCCGGAGTGATATAACTACTAGTATTTGGAATTTTATGCTGACCTACTTCAGGACATTCGCCTCGCTTTTCTTAGCTATTGTTTTTACATGTACTTGTGCGTTGACGATTCAGCACGGTATATTGCTCCCACGAGTCGTGCTTTGACTTCGAACTGCTAACTGCTAACCTGTTTCAAGTGTTTGGAAATGAAGAAAAAAACTTGTACGGAAGTGTCTTTTTCTGATTTCTAAGTTGTTGTCTGGCACACATAGTCACCAGAAATGATATTCGTATTGGGATACGTATCCATATTGTTGTTGTACTTACCATACTTCCCCGGATAGAAGTCACACCTTATTACGAGAAATTAGAGAGCAGAGAAGGGGTTGCAACTACTTGCGATTGCGCGTGACTGCCCACTGTCGCGGACATTGAGATCCGGTGAAATGACTCGGGGGATGGCTTAACTATAACTCGCATTCACACTGTAAAATGGACCAGCCGTGCTCGTGGCTGCAAGGCCAACGCACCGTGACCACTTGACTTCTCAACAGATTTCAATGTCCACAACAGTACGCACATGTTTGTGAAACAATTTGGCTCAGACCTGAAACGGGGGGGGGGGGGGGGGGGCACTTTTTGACTCACTTAGAAATTGAAAATCGAATCAGGGAGTAGGACAATCCTGTGCTTAAGTGCAAAGCAACCATGATATCAATCAGGGAGTAGTACAGTACCATGGTATTGTACTACTCCCTGATATCAATGATGAGAAATTGAGAATACAGTCATGGATCTGGGATACTGAATGGCCGCATGATACAACTACAGTAAGGGCCTTATGGACTGCCCCCTGGGGAAAATTGCAGAAGAAAAGCTCAAAATTCGCGGCACAATTTGCGGTCAATTATATTGGCACAGCTCGCGGCAAAGTGGCGGGGAATTTGCGACAGTTTTTTTGGTAAATTTGCAAGTGGTATGGACAATCTATTGGTTTGCCTGCCAGAAAACTACCTATTTTTCATCAAGAAGAGTGCGTGCCATGTGTAAACAGTATGCTAGGGAGCACCCTACACATACGTGGAAGTACCAGTATGTGACGTGAACGGCTCACCGCCCAACACTGGTACGGGTGTGTAGTGCAACAACAAGTTCAAAATCGTGGAAAAACCCCTGCCGTGGAATCGCGATTTTACTCTTGCTACTGTGCTGGCTGACGTTAACTAAGGTCTGTCCGGGTTACCCATTGAACGAAAAAAGTAGTATTTTTCAGCCCCCATCTACCCTTTCTGCAGATAGAAGAACTAGTTTTGTACGACAAGATCACACACTTGTACTTGCGTACGTACATTGACCATGTCGACTCGGGGTTTGTGCATTCGATAATTTTTTCAAAACAGAAACCTCCATTTTTGTTTTAAAAAAAAGGTCGGTGACCCCGCAGGGCCGCAGCCCGGCCCCTCAAACAGAGAATTTTTGTTGGAAGAGTTTGAATTTTCCTACCACTGTTCTGCACTGGTGTTCATGGCTGGACATGCCCTGCAAAACACCAATTGCTGTTTGATATATTTGTGCCTTGGAGCGCATGGTGTAAAAAGGCCCAGCCTGGTGGTGGTCGTGCGCACCCACGCATAGGTAGGTTGTCAACAAACATATTGCCGGATGTCAAGTGGCTTCACTAGGTTACCAGTGTTCACGAGCCTTACACACGCAAGCACAGGTAGCCCCCCCCCCCCCCCACACACACACACAACTCACACAAACACACACACGTACACATTGTGATTCTAAGGTTCGACAATTTTTTTTGCCGAATTTGGAAAACAATTCCATGATGGTGAGTGGCTGCAGAGAGCAGGCATTCTTTCTATAATATATCAGTTCTATTAGAGAATGCAGGGAGTGGCTAGACAACGAACAAGAAATTGTCTTTACAAACATGTTGCGCTCATAGTGAAAGCAGCAAACAATTAGAAAGGACGTTCAGTAGGGGTTCCGGTGGAGAACCTGTAAAGTTGACAAGTATCTAAAAATAGGGCATGATTTCTGGGGTGTGTGCAAAGCAGAATTTGGAGAGGGAATGTTTTGTGGGTACAATACAGAATATGGAGATACAGCCGTGTATAAAACTGAAAATAGCATTTGTGGGAAGAAGCTTCTTATAATGTCAAAGTGAAGCATCAGCAAGCGAATGCATGAGAAATCCTTAGTTCGCTGCATTCCTATTGCCGAGGTGCGCACGTTTACAAATCAATTGCGTCGCCAGTGTTGCTGACGTAGACGCGGAAAGGAGAGCCTGGTACGTGCTCGCCGTGCCACTTGACGGAGATCATCGTCTCGCCCTCCTCGTTAATCTGGTAGTTGATGGCGAACACAAAGTCGCCAACGTGTCGTACCGTGATCTCCTCGGCCGGAACGTAGCCACCTTGCACGCCAATCTCGAGCAGACCGTTGCCTCCAGCAGCGGATGCATCCACCGTGAATTCGTTGCGCTCGTTGACCAGCGGCTGGGCCGACAGGTCCTTGACATTGGCCTTGCTGGCATCCGGTGGCGGGCGCACGATGCTCGCCGTGTACGGACTCTTGGGCACCTCCTCGTCGTCAAAGTTGATCTTTACATCGTACCTGCCCGGTTGAGTTGCAACAAAGGTCACATCAACTGTGCCATCACCATTGTCCTGCGCACAGCAAGTAAGGAAAGCAACAAGGAAAATAGAACACAGCACAGTAGATGATCAGCAGGTCAATGGTATACCGGGGGTAGTTTTCACTCTCTTTTCTGGCAGTTCACTTCCCTGACTGATTTCATTGAAATCCAAAGTTCTACCAATGCTACAACAATGGCATGTACATGTACTAAGTATTGAGTTTTATAGTTTTAGCGGGCTGTTGTTTCACCAAGAACAAGGCTATTTATGAGTTCTATGTTCCCCTCTAGTATATTGAATCTCAGGTTTAATGATAGAACTCAGTCACAGGCAGATATAGTGGTCCTGTGCTGAGTTGTAAGAGATGCCACTGCATACACTGCATACACTGCATCACGGTGCTGCATACACTGCATGTACTGCATGTGCTGCATACACTGCATGTACTGCATACACTGCATGTACTGCATACACTGCATGTACTGCATACACTGCATGTGCTGCACACACTGCATGTGCTGCATACACTGCATGTGCTGCATACACTGCATGTACTGCATACACTGCATGTGCTGCATACACTGCATGTGCTGCATGTGCTGCATACACTGCATGTGCTGCATACACTGCATGTGCTGCATGTACTGCATACACTGCATGTGCTGCATACACTGCATGTGCTGCATACACTGCATGTGCTGCATACACTGCATGTACTGCATACACTGCATGTACTGCATACACTGCATGTGCTGCATGTGCTGCATACACTGCATGTGCTGCATACACTGCATGTGCTGCATACACTGCATGTGCTGCATACACTGCATGTGCTGCATACACTGCATGTGCTGCATACACTGCATGTGCTGCATACACTGCATGTACTGCATACACTGCATGTGCTGCATACACTGCATGTGCTGCATACAATGCATGTGCTGCATACACTGCATGTGCTGCATACACTGCATGTGCTGCATACACTGCATGTGCTGCATACACTGCATGTGCTGCATGTGCTGCATACACTGCATGTGCTGCATACACTGCATGTGCTGCATACACTGCATGTGCTGCATACACTGCATGTGCTGCATACAGATACACTGCATGTGCTGCATGTGCTGCATACACTGCATGTGCTGCATGTGGACAGAAGGCATAAACAACTAGTATGCAGTTACTTGGGGGTAGGAGTGTGTACATCATTTCAGATGATCCCGGCAGGAAACAAGTGTAATCTGGAACACATTTCTCTCTCTCTCTCTCTCTTTCTCCATAGCCCATAGTCTCTCCCACTCACATAATCGCGTATACTAACTATTATTTGTTAGTGCATACATACAGACATACACACACACACACACACACACACACACACACACACACACACACACACACACACACACACACATGCACGCACGCACACATACACGTACACACACACACACACACACACACACACACACACACACACACATATAGGCTTCACTGACCTTGGTCTCGACATCCGGGGTGGATGGACCAGTGATGGCGATTTCCAGTTCACCGTCACCGGCTTCGGACTTGTCTACGGTGAAGTGTGCGGGCTCGTTCACAATGCTGTCACCTTCCAGCGCTGGACCATGGGCAGTGACACGCGACGGATCACTCACGGATACACTGTATGGACTCTGTGCCACCAGCTTGCCAGCAAAGCGAAGGTTGATCTCAAAATGGCCGGCCATGTCTGGGTTGTACTCGACGTGGTGAGTGGCCTTGGATGCCTCGGACAAGTCAAAGTCCAGTGCCTGCATGGTGTCGGTGTTGACGATGGACACATCGACTTCACCCACACCAGCACCAGCAGTGTTGATGTCGAAGAATGTTTGACGGTGTGCTTTCAGGCCGGTCGGTTCCAGGCCCGGACCCTGGGCAGTGCACTTCGAAGGATCAGCTACTGGAACAATGAGAGGAGCACCGGGCACGCTGCGGCCGGCAAACAAGACGGGCACCTCAACATCTCCTGCTTGCGTTGGGACAAACTCCACCTCGTAACGGCCTGGCTGGTCGGCAACTGGGTGGATGTCGATGGGTAGTTTCTTGTTTCTGGCTTCCTTGGCCATGACATCGAGCTCTCCTGGTCCAGCATCAGCGGTGTCAACGGTGAAGAAGACTGGCTCACCGACGCATGCACATTCAAGACCACCTTTGTTGATTTCGCAGCGGGATGGATCCGATACCTCCAGCTTCGCAGGCATATCCTCCAGATCCTCGCCCAACAGTCCTAGGTTCAGCTCATACACACCGGGTTCCTCGGGTACAAACTTAACCTTGCTGTAGCCCTTGGCGGGCATCTCCACGTCGGGTTCAAAGTCCCCTCCGGATGGGCTTTGCACACGGGCCGTAACAGGTGTGTCAGGCGGGCCGGCCTTGCGAGTGTCCACGGTTGCACAGATCTCCTCGCCCACGTAGTACGGAGCCTTGTCCAGTCCGCTGACTTTAGCGTTCTTGATGTTACGCACGGGAATGCGGAACGGTGTGCCCGGCACCTCCTCGTCGGCAAACTTCATGTTGAAGCGATACTCTCCTGCGGTGCTCGGTACAAAGTTGATACGGAATGTGCCGTCCTTGTTGTCCACCACATCGGCCTGGGCCTGGCCTGGTCCTTCCAAGCCAAGGTTCAGGCCTCCTGGACCAGCCTCTCTGGCGTCGACGTCGATCGGGAGCATTTCATTGACGCGGCCGCCATCCAAACCGTCACCACTGACCTTGACCTTGGTCGGGTCCACCGAGCCGAGGGCGAACGGTACCTTGGGAATGGCATGACCGGCATGCGTAGCTGTCACGTTGTATGTACCGGCATCGTCCGGAACAAAGGACAGCTTGTACTTGCCGTTGGAATTTGGCATGGGCTCCACGTCCAAGTTGACTTGGGCGCCGGTGGGATTCTTTGCAGCTGCCTTCACGGCACCAGGTCCGGCCTGTGTTGCATCCAGCACGTACTCGACGGGCTTTCCGACTCTGGCCAGTTCTCGATTGTCGACACCTGGACCGGTGATCTTGCACTTGGTCGGGTCACTGACACCCACGGTGTACGGGCTGTCATAGATATGATCGCCGGCGTACAGGATGTTCACGTTGTACGTACCGACTGCGGTGGGGTTGTAGACAGCGTCGGAGATGTGAGGCCCGTCACTGCTCGGTGCTACTTGAACCTTGCTCGACCTTGGCTTTGGTGCGTCCACTTTTACCTCCAGGTTGCCACGGCCAGCTCCCTGTGTATCTATCTTGAAGTTGCCAGCGTCACCCACTCGTACACCTTCCGGACGCAGACCGGGGCCATACGCACGAACACGGTTGGCATCGGTCTGTGGATCAACCTCAGCCTTGAATGGCGAATCGGGCACTTCGGTATCATTGAACTTCACGTGCACATAGTAGTCACCCTCCACTGGCGGTGTGTAGCGACAAGTTTTCGTACCGTCTCTGTAGCAAGAGAGCAGAAACAGAGTCGTGTGTTAGAGAGGACAACCATATCTCTCTGTCCTCGCACACATACAGTAATGTAACGCAAGCAAGTAAACACAGCATGAAACTGCTGAAAAGTGGAGGACGTAAGAAGCCGGCAAGGACCACCACCCTACTGTGCTATCAACCCAGTGGGCAAAGTACTGGCTTACACACACACACACACACACACACACACACACACACACACACACACACACATACACACACACACACACACACACACACACACACACACACACACACGCACGCACGCTCATGTACTAAGCCATTCCAGGAATGTCACATTTACACAGCAGCCACATACTTGGTAACTAAAATTACTCGTACTTGCAGTCCCCTGAAAGGATTACAAGGAAGACCACTGGAACAGCACTGCCTTAGTTGCCAATTCTGACAATAAGTAATTACTGTCTACACTACTATCGTGACATGGGTCACACATGCATGTTTCATAACGTGGGAGAAGCCCTGAACTGTGATCTGCGGGCCAGAAAAATATATTCTGAATTTCAATTAGGAAATGATCTATCTATTTCACATAATTGTTTTATGTCTTACGGGTTCTTCTCCATCTTCATCTTTGCCTCCTGCGGTCCCTCGATGAGTACATCCAGGTTTCCATCACCGGCCTCCGTGTCATCAATGTGGAACACAGATTCAATTCCAGCCACGCCACTGTCCAAATCATCTCCCCAGACCTTCACCTTGGCCGGATCTGTGGCCCACTTGACTTTGACGGCAAACGGCGACTTGGGCGCGTGCGTGCCGGCGAATTTGACTACAACGGTGTGGTCACCACCGAGACGTGGCTCATAGTGGCACCTGAAAGTGCTATCCTTATTGTCCACGATGTTGATAGGTACATGGCTGCGCTCGGGACCAGTGACGCTGACGTCAACGTCACCCTCTCCGGCCATGCGTGCATCAATGTCAAAGTATGTTGGGTTACTGGATACCAGCCCGGTTGGCTCCACACCAGGTCCGCTGACAACCACCCTGCCGGGGTCTGTGCATGGTGCTACCTCAACCGAGATTGGACTAATGGGCAACGGCTCATCGGCAAACTTCACGTGCACCTCGTACGTGCCGGGTTCCTTAGGATAGTACACGCATCGCTGACTGCGGTCACGATCGGTGGTACTATCCAGCTTGGTGTTTGCTGGGCCTTCAATGCGTACACTGATAGGACCATCACCGGCTTCACGGCAGTCCACGACGAATGGCGCCGGTTGTCCTGTGATTAGACCAGGTTCGACACCACGACCGTGTACCTTCACCTTGCTGGGGTCAAGGACGTTGACAGGGAACGGCCCGGTCGGGACCGGGAAACCGCCGTAAGTCAGGTTGACCTTCTCGGTGCCGGCTCTCTCCGGTGTGAATTCCAGAGAGCATGTGTCGGGTCCGGTCTGTTCGACAGTGCAAGGTTGCTCGGCTTTGTTACCCCACTGGTGAGTAGCTGCCAGGTCCCCGGGGCCGGCTTCTGACGTGTCAACTTCGTAGCGCACAGGCACGCCGACCTTCAGTGGCTGATCGTCGGTGATCCCTGGACCGGAAATGCGTACTCGGCTCGGATCAGTCACACCAACATCGAATGGACTGTTGGGAATGTGGTTGCCGTCGAATGTAACCGCTACTTTGTACTGTCCAGGGAAGACGGGTGTGTAGGTAACGCCACTGCCATCTCGGATTGAATGCATGTCGTACGGCATCTTATTACCACCGGGGTTTACGATGTCCACATCCAACTTTCCGGGACCGGCACCTTTGGTGGACACTTTGAACGGCGCTGCCTGGTTAACACGCAGTCCCATCGGCTCAACTCCCGGACCGGTAGCCTCGCACTTGCTGGCATCGACAGGAGGTTGGGCGGACACACGGAACGGACTCTTGGGAATCATCGCCTGCGACCAGCGCACCTTGACAAACACCTCGCCTTCGTCTTGCGGTACATACTGACAGTCGAACGTGTCATCGCCGTTGTCTACAATCTCGCATGGAATGTCTCCTCCACGGCCGCGCACATTGACATCCAGCTCACCACGACCGGCGTCCTTTGAGATGACCTGGAACGGGGCTGGCTGTCCGCAGACCAAACCCTGACTCTCTACACCTGGACCCACGGCACGCACTTTCTTGGCATCCGGAGGCGTAGGGGCGACGTTCACCTCAAACGGACTGCCAGGAATGTGCTGATCGGCCCACTTGAGCACAACTGTGTGTGGTCCGGCTTGGTTGGGAGTATAGGATCCACTGTACTGGCCTGCCATATCTTGACTGAGCTTGAGAAAATCTGGTCCCAGTTCATTTCCGTCGGGACCAGTCACTGAATAGGACAGATCACCCTCGCCAGCACCCTTCGTTTTCACGTTGAACTTTGCCGGTTTCTGCTCAACAAGACCACCACCGTCCACACCAGGACCCCAGGCGCGGCAGCGGGCTGGGTCAGAGATGGGCTCGACTCCGACCTTGAACGGACTGCGCGGAATGTCGCTCTTGTTGTACAGGATTGTGACGACGTGCTCGCCAAGCTCCTCGGGTACGTACGAGCAGGCATAGGTACCGTCGGACGCCCGCTCGCCGACCTTGACCGGCACCTCTCTGCCATCGGGCGCATTGCACGTGATGGTAAGCTTGCCCTGCGTCTTCTTCGGGGTGTAGACAGTGAA